TTCGTTTACAATGTGAACATTCCTGTAGATTGACTGACAAGCTCCATGCGCCGAACATACTACATTCAGCGTCAGAGGGCAAGAGTTGTTAGACCTCTCATTTCCCTTGACCTGCGAGACGCCTACCTTCACATCCCCATACATCCAGACTATCGGAAGTATCTTCGATTTACTTTCAAGAGGCGTCATTGATACCAGTGGAGGGTCCTGCAGTTTGGCATATGTATGGCCCCGTGGCTTTTCACTCAGATACCCAATCCGATAACAAGCTACCTGCATTGTCTAGGCGTGACATTCGAGAACTATATCGACGACTGTGTTCAAGCCCAACAGGATCTGGTCGTCCTTCCTTCTCCACAGGCAGTTCATCATCAAGTCGCTCACGCAATTAGGATGGCTGCTGAATTCGGAGAAATCGGAGGTAACACCAACCCGGTGATTTCTTTTTATTGGGACAATGTTTGTGCCCCAGGAGAGATTCAGTGCAACGCACCACTACTGCTGGTCCAACCCACAACTTTTCGCCAGTGGCAGAAGTTACTAGGGTGGTTGACGTCGGCACAAGCGCTGACTTACAGGGGCCAGCTTCAGCTTCGCCATCTTCAGATGTTTTTGTGCCCATACATCCCGCACGACAACCCCAGGGAGTTCATTCGTCTTCCCACACAGCTACATTCAGTCTTTCGTTGGTGACTCAACAAGTGGAATGTTTGTGTTGGAGTCTTTATGGTGCCCTTCATACCGACTCAACACCTGTTCGTCGACACATCTTTCAAGCTGGGGCGCTCACTTTCTCCATCAAGTGGCCTAGCAGTGGTCATCAGGAGAAAGGGACCTTCATATCAACAAATTGGAATTTAGCACTGTCATTCTCGCCGTTCTGCATTGGGCAGTTGAACTATGGTTCACTCATATACTGATTCAATCAGACATTTCGATGGTAATTTTGTACATAAACCATCAGGGGTCGACAGGATCAGCAGCTCTGCTTCAGTTAATGTTTCGAATTTATCATCTGATCGATTCACTCAACACAGTGGCCAGAGCCCGACACATTCCCAGGATGAGGAATGTCATTGCCGATGCCCTGTCACTCACGGATTGGAAACAACTGCCTCTGATATTCCAATTGAAGATCTACCTGTTATCACAACCAGATGTAGACCTGTTCGCCACTCGGGACAACCATCAGCTTCAGCGCAGATGATCACCAGTTGCGATCGTTTCTGCTTTGTGTACAATATGAATAAAATTCTGAATTTTATTTCTGATTTGTGTCTTCGATTCTTCTGGGACTTCGATTTCTCCTCTCAATTTCATTTGAGACTCTGGAGAGTCGCCACCTCACTTACTGTCCTCTGCTGTATGGATTGATTACGTCAGTGAAGTGAGACATTCCCGAAGTGTTACACTTCGTAGCGTTCATGCTCCTACGTACCTATACACATCTATGTGATCTTACTGTGGTAAGTGGTGGAAGGCATAAGATGATGTTGTGGTACTGAACGTTAAAATTGTCAGTTTTCCGATTCAATTACCCTTTCACCATCCTCGGGGCGGTGTCTGTGGGGGGTTGTTTCGAAGCAGGGGCTGGCCCGATACTAGTCATTAGACTTTTATCACGGGGGTACCTTGGAAGTCTTGGCCTACCTTGTCGTTGCTCCCTACGGATGTAGAAGTGTTCAACAATCTCGCTTGCAGACCTCTACTCCACAGAGCAATCATGTCAGTGTAGTGAGTACTTCCCGATTTCCTTATGGATTTCGTAGCGTTCTAGCTCCTAAGTACCTTAGCACACCGTTGTAACCTAACTGTGGTAAGTAGTGGAAGTCATGTGGTGTTGTTTTGGTACTGAACGTTAAACTTGTGGCGAAGCAAGGTGACTTCATTGAGTGGCATTTTAGAAGTTGGGAAGTACAATATAGAACAAACTTTATGGATAACAACTTCTTCTTTTTTCGTGAATGCGACGTTTTGATACAGATTCTTGTACCGTTGTCAAGCATAGTGCAAGGTGACTTGCCTAGTTGCGTTTTTCTTGCGTATGTGAGGGTTGCTGTCGAACACAACATTGCTCAGGAGCACCCACTCCATGGGAGCGATGGTGCCTAGTAAGACAAGGGGTTCAGGAGAACCCATCACTAGTATAGGTACCAACTACTACTAAGCTAGTCGGATCCTGCAGCCGAAAACCACATTGCTCGGGAGCACCCACTAATGGGAGCGATGATGCCTAGTACACCAAGGGGTTCACGAGAACCCATCACTAGTAGAGGTACTATGCTAGTCAGATCCGGCCTCCCTTGTTCATTGCTATCTACAGTTGTCATTAGCCTATACAGTGTATACTGTCAGTGCCTTTTGACTTAGGGTAATCTGTGACCCGCTGTCGAACCGTGGGATAAGTGCAAATCGTAAGATAGGATAAGTTTAAAAATTTGAAAATTTGAATATAAATTGTATATTTATATACTTATCCTATCTCATGAGATGGATGCCCACCCAGCCTCCCCTCTACTCAGATTACAACAGTTACGATAACTGTCATTGGCTCCAAGAAGAGAATGATCACTCTGAGGTAGTCACGTGGGTAGACAGGGGAACGTGCTGCAAGCTTAGCTGGGGACTAGGGACCTGTCCTATAAGGAGAGCAGCCTGGGGAACACGGGCGTATGGACAAGAGAGGCCTACAGGAAAAGTTCTCATTCGTTCCACTCAGCGTCGAAGCAAGAGAGAGAAGTGCAAATCGTGAGATAGGATAAGTATATAAATATGCAATTTATATTAAAATTTTCAAATTCTTTGCATACAACTTGGTCATAAGTAGGGCTGCGCAATATAACCGGTTTACCAGTATTTACTGGTTCAGACATGAAAACGATACTTATTGCGATACGCTGATCGAAAAACTATATTTTGACTTGCATTCGGAAAACTTCGTAACACTCGGAAATCTTTGGATATTTCCTTATTTCATTTGTGCCAAATATTATTTACATTTTTATTTTGTCATGATTAAAAGTTGTTATTAAAGCTTAATCAAGTATAGTGATTTTGTTACATAAAAAATACTCCCTCCCACCTCCAAGCACATCGGTCTTTACATGATGGAAACTTTTTATAGAAGTGAGTATTCCCACCTTTGTCCACAGAAGAGCTGTAGTCTGATAGTTCTGTGGTGGAATCAATCAGAATTGCGGAAATAGGACAGCACATACACTTTGTAATAATTGTAATTATAATAATAAATCATATAAGACAAGTATATGGATGACAACTTCTTCTTTATTGTATAACACGACATTTCTGGTCTACTTCTTGCCCCTTCGTCAGGTGATATAAAGACAGGAGTACAAAACATACTATATATACCAGAATTTACAGGAAGACAGAGAAGTACATGTATATACAATGAATCAGAGAGGACCGATGAAAAGCAGTTATAAAAACAATGATAATAGGGATAAAGTAAAGCCAGTTGACACAAACAATGAGGATAAGGAGATGTGAATACAGCTAATGAAGTGATAATTAGATTTACAGGAAGCCAGAGAAGTACATCTATATACAACGAATGAATGACGACAGATCAATTAGAAGTTATAAAAACAATGATGATAAGGAGATGTGTACACAACAGAGTGATATACAGCTAATTAAATGACAATAGAGGCGGCTTTTGTGATGTTCCAGGCACTAAGGAGGTATACAACTTGATCTCTATTAATCTCAGGGGTTAATCTCCTGATGTTGATGGCTTCTTGTATTTTCCGTTTGCGCCAATCGTGAACATTGGTAGCCAAGATGCTCAACAAGGTTTTTGGGATAGCCGTTAAAGAAGAAGTTGTCATCCATATACTCGTCTTATATATTCATCAACTTCTTAATGCCTCTCAAGAATCTCATAATAAATCATACCTCTCTGTATTATGTATTTTCATTTCAACCGACCAGTTTAGTGTTAAATGAAGTATCACTTTGTTCCCCATGCTATTTCTTTAGTAGTTTGTTAGCAATAACAAACTGAAAGGAAAATATGTAAAAAGACAAACCAATTTTTTTTTATGATTGATCGGTTGTCATCACTTATGAAATTTCAACAAATTCCCAAATCTGGTGATGTTTTATTTACATTTTATGAACTGTTCTTTCTCATGTGCTAGTTATTTGAACACAGTGAATTTGAGCATATTTGTTTTCTCACCATGCTTGTCAAAAGAGATTACCAACAAGACAGGGTGTTCAGAATTGCTGATTTTGTTGATGCGTGGTCATCATATCCAAGTTCTATCTATACATAGATTGACGCTGTATAGTACTGGTTGAACTGCACTGGGCATGTGTTTACTTAGAGCAGTGATGATGTTGTTAAAACCAGAATTGCTGATAACATTGTTTTTTCGGTAACTCTTGTTTTTCTGGTTTTAAGGTGTTAGTGTATATTGACATGTGTTTTCCAAAGTGGAAAAGAAGTCATTTAGCTGAAAGTATAGGTGGAAAGAATGGGACTTTTGTTTGCAATACTTGTGACTCATATTTTCTGCAATTGGAAGAAATATCATTCAACCAAAAGTGTGTACAACTTGTTTTATTAACTTTGCTGGAGGCAGTGTTCTTCCTGTTTCGAGGGTTGTCTTGCACATGTGTTTTTCCAAACCAAAAGTAGTCATTAAAATGCAATTACTTTCTTATAATTTGCCTTTCTGTGAATTTAGGATGTCTCCGCTATGGAAATGCCTTCAGGTTTTTCATGTTAGCTGGAGGCAAGGTACTTTTAATCTGTTTGGAGGTTGTAGTAGACATGCATTTGAACAGGGTTTGGGTTTACATTTGTAATGACTTGGGTGCTTCTGTAAATGGCAGTCTGTTTTCAAGCTGATAATATGTTTGAATTGTCTAGAGAAACCCAGTTTCTTCTGTTTTGGGGACACTCTTCTAATTTGTAAAGGTAAGTGATGTGACAGCTGTCCATAACCAACAATATATGTCATTTGTTTCAGCAAAAGGATATTTATTTTGGGACCTTCTCACCATGTGCGTTTATCTGGATGTGCCCTGTCAGCTGCTGAACGTTATCAAACACCACTGTATGATCTCCCAATAGACACAAAAGGTTTGTCTTTCAAGTTTCTTCGAGTGTGTGCATTCATGTGTGTGTGTGTGTGCATGCAGACAGACTGTTAACGATCAATATATTGGAATTAATAGACCTCCAGGGGTGGAAATAACTTTAAAATTGCTAGTGTACTTCGGTACAGTGGCACACGTCAAATCACTTGCCCTGATAATTCTTCCACTATACCGGCCGATTTTCAGGTTGATTTTTTAAATAGACAATATAATTAACATTGGAAAGTCAACTTGACACCGGTACAGCGTGACATACAAATTTGCTAGCCCGACAGAAAAAACACTGGACTGGGGCGTCGGGCAATGGGCTATTTCCACCCCTGACCTATTATTACACAATGTTATCCCTTTATTACCTGTTAGAAAGTTGAATGAGGTCATATCATGGCCTGATTGCCAATTTTTCTATACTACAATACCAATGAAACCTTTGGTAGCTTGTTTCAACTAATGATGCTGTGATTAGGAAGTAAGTTTTCTTCATGAATATTTCTCCAGTATTTTTTTTTTATCCCCCCGCAACGCGGTATTAAAATGCACTCCGTCTGTCCGGCCATGCACATTTGTCTTTTCCGGAGCAGAACTTTAAAACCGTTCAGTATTTCTTCACCAAACTGGTCTGGTGGTGAACTGGTGCCTTTTGGTAGTTTTGCATTTCTGTGTAAGAAATGTTTTGCATTTCCATGGCAATAAATTTGACTTCAATTGAAATTGGAGTCGCTGCCATTTTCCGAGCAGAACTATAAAACCTTTGGTAGCTTGTTTCAACTAATGATGCTGTGATTAGGAAGGAAGTTTTCTTCATGAATATTTCTCCAGTTGTTAACGCGTTTTGCGTGGGGTATTAAAATGCACACCGTCCGTGCACATTTGTCTTTTCCGGAGCAGAACTTTACAACCGTTCAGTATTTCTTCACATAGATAGGTATGGTGGTGAACTGGTGCCTTTTGGTAGTTTTGCATTTCTGAATAAGATGGGTTTTTTTCGTTTCCATAGCAATAAGTTTGACTTCGACTGAAATTGGTGGTAGTGCTGTTTTCCGGAACAGAACTTTAAAACCTTTCAATACTCTCCTACTTTGCAATATAGTCACTGACTTGGTTGACACTTATCATTGTATCCCAATTGTGTAGATTGATGCGTATGCTGTTGATCACTGGATTATCCAGTCCAGATTCTATTATTTACAGACCACTGCCATGTAGCTGAAATATTGCTGAGTGTGGCATAAAACTAAACTCACTCACTGCTATATACACGCCAAAGCATTTGATATAGCCGTAACTAACTGACATATTCATGAAGAGTATTTTGCCATTGCAGGGGATATTGATGACTTTGTCTTCTTGTATACAAATTTTGTGGGCAATTGTTGGCAAGTGTTGGTCGTAAATGTTAGTCTGTGGGTCATAAAAAGTTGTAGCCATGTCACGTGGGGTATACTGTCTGATGTACCCTCTGTGTTGCAGTGTACCCTGAGAGATAAGGCTAGAACGAAATTATCTACCGTCATGGCTGCCTCCTGTGTTTTTTACATGGGCAATAGACTGTATGTAAACACAATGCTGTACAAGAACTACAGTTAGGCAGTTCAAATGGAACATATTGTTTTAATTCTGTCACAACAATAACTCGGTGAAATGTCACCATAACTGTGAGGCATTAACAATAACGGTTTACAATATTGAACTGCAAGAGAATCACAGAAAAGAACATCTCACTAAAGTTTGTACCTTGTGACCTCTAAAACAGCTGATCGAACAGCTGATGAAGCGAAGGAATGTGCCTAACTCATGTCACATGTAACGTTTACATTCTGAATGTTGCAATTTTGAAAAAGTGATGTTTGGTTTGTCATCTTAAGGGTGGTTTGATTGTTCAGGATCGAAAAATTGCAAAATATGTCATCAAGGTCAAGCTCGCTCAGTTCTGCAAGTTTGTTGCCTTCCAGCTGGCATGGTTTGACAGCAGTCCGTCCATGCATCCGCCCGTGCACATTTGTCTTTTCCGGAGCAGAACTCTAAAACCATTCAATATTTCTTCACCAAACTTGGCACATAGATAGATCTGGTGGTGTACTGGTGCCTTTTGATGGTTTTGGAATTCTGAATAAAACATTGTTGACATTTCAATGGCAACAAGTTTGACTAAAACAGAAATTAGTGGTAGTGCACTTTTGAGGAGCAGAACTCTAAAACCGTTCAATGTTTCTTCACCAAACTTGGCACATAGATAGATCTGGTGGCGTACTGGTGCCTTTTGGTAGTTTTGGAATTCTGAATAAAATATTGTTGGCATTTCCATGGCAACAAGTTTGACTTAGCCTGAAATTGGTGGTTGTGCTCTTTTCCGGAGCTGAACTCTAAAACCCTTCACTATTTCTTCACCAAACTTGGCACATAGATTGGTCTGGTGGTGTACTGGTGCCTTTTGGTAGTTTTGGAATTCTGAATAAAATATTTTTGGCATTTCCATGGCAACAAGTTTGACATAGACTGAAATTGGTGATAGTGCTCCTTTCTGGAGCAAAACTTTAAAAACCTTTCAATACTCTCCTTCCACTTTTCTATAAGCACCTAAATATTTGACATAATCATAACTCGTAGACATAATCATGAAGAGTATTTTGCCATTGCGGGGGATATTGATGACTTTGTCTTCTTGTTTCCCTTGGAACCGCCTCTGTGGTGTAGTGGTTAGAGCGTCCGCCCGGGAGCGGAAGGTCGCAGGTTCAATCCCCGACCGCGTCATACCAAAAGACATTAAAATATGGTACTTGTTGGTCCCTGCCTGGCGTTCGGCATTAATGGGTACAACAAGGACTGGTCGCCTCGGAGTCAGTATAATGTGTCTCAGTGGGGTATTCATGCTTCACTGCAGCATGGTATCTCAGTCGGCTTGCACTATAAAACCAGCTTCAGTCTGGGCTAGTACAAGCAGCCGCACATACACATACACACACATGCACGACGCCCTATGAGCGAAATATTCTCAGGTACGACGTTAAACCCAATTTCACCTCACCTCACCTTGTTTCCCTTGGCATGGCTTATATGTATCTTTTCCATGAATGATATCTGCTGATAGACAGCAAGGGAACTGACGCCCTTGTGACCGATGACACTCATGATTTGGGCACTCACAAAGTTACCGCGAGTGAGGATCGTGGTGCCAGTGGCAACGGTTACAGTGTTTGTGTAAACCAAGGACAAACCACACCGCTTACTGAGAGTAGACATGAAGGTAGCTTGTGTGTTCCTCCCGACATGCTTGTTGTTATACCAGGTACAATGATTGTCGCAGAAACAATCTATCAGATACTGCCATAGTCGATAGCAATCGGGATGTAGCTTATCAAGGTAGGCAACGTACGATGTCACTTGGCAGAAAGGTGAATTAGGCTGCTCCATCATCAATCCCCCAAATGACTCCTTATCATCCCTGTGGTTTTGGGTCAGTTCTTCAGCATTTCTCTGTACATAGCGGAGCCAGTATCAGAATCAGTCTTCACTACGAATGTAGTTTTTGTCATTTTTTCCATGTTTTCAAAACCTTGCCCAAAAAAGTAGAGTCTGATGTCAAACTGGACCTTGCTAGCCAATTGGATTATCCATATGGTGTCTGAGCAGCCTTCAGCTCGAGCATTGCCGTTTTAAAAGATTTGTTGGCATTGTTGAATCGATCATCCTTTATTATGTCAAAGTCTCTATTATATGGCGGAGATTTCAAGTATCTGTTGAGACTGTGCCTAATATTCTCCAAAGATGATGTCTTGTATTGGTCACCTGTTTGAGTTCTGATATCCATGTAGACATGACTTAGCATCTTGGCTAAAGCCACAGCATCCTATGTTACAAAATTCATGTCTTGTTCCTTTTCTGCGAGATATTCTGTAAAAAGTTTTGGTGACGCATTATTCGCTTTCTTGGTGTTTTCTGGGATCAATTTAGAACGTTTGGCTGATATATCTTCTTCTGAATGAGAAGCGAAGTGTTTGGTGGCCATTGTTTCTACAGGTAACTACAGCAAACACTTATTTGTTTACTTCTTAACTCCTAATTGTGTAAATCTATGTTGCCATTAACTCATGTGAACCCTATAACCCTGTGAGAAGTAATTTATACCAGAGTTAGGCAAATACGCTGTTGTCAGGGCAGCAGGGTATATTTTTTCCAGTTATACTGCCCAATAGCGGGGTACACAGATTTTTGTAAAAACTGCATTGTCCAATCAGATTACAGTGTTTCACATATAAGGTAAGATAATTATAATTACCGTATGTTCATTATAACTAAGAAATTTTGCAACTGAATAAAATTTATCTTCTGTATAAATCTTGATGTTCAAACAATAACATTAACAAATATTCCTATGCCAACTTACAGTTGTCTCGTCATCAGTGCAAAATTGTCTTAAACCAAGGGCTTATCAGTGCCTCCCAGATATTGTCTTAAACCAAGGGCTTATCGTTGCCCCCCAGAAACTGTCTTAAACCAAGGGCTTATCAGTGCCCCCCATAAATTGTCTTAAACCAAGGGCTTATCAGTGCCTCCCAGAAATTGTCTTAAACCAAGGGCTTATCAGTGCCTCCCAGAAATTGTCTTAAAGGAAGGGCTTATCAGTGCCCCCCAGAAATTGTCTTAAACCAAGGGCTTATCAGTGCCCCCCATAAATTGTCTTAAAGGAAGGGCTTATCAGTGCCTCCCAGAAATTGTCTTAAACCAAGGTCTTATCAGTGCCTCCCAGATATTGTCTTAAAGGAAGGGCTTATCAGTGCCTCCCAGAAATTGTCTTAAACCAAGGGCTTATCAGTGCCTCCCAGAAATTTCATTTCCATGGTATCAGAAGTAGAGTATCATGAAATCTGCATTCCACTTCTCAATGCCCTTCAAAGATTTGATCAAATCTGTACCAAATGAAGAAAGTCAATCCTGTTGTTACAATTTCTGATACAAAAATGTGTTCATTGCACATGCATATCTGAACTAGTGTTTGTAGTGTATTTAATTCCTTCAATGACATTACCTCCGTTACTTTATACCCATTATTTCTGTCCTTACTCAATAAAATACTAAGAATTTCCTCTTCACCAATCCAGGTGCATCTCACCAAAACATACTCTGTGTATGTGCAAGGTATTAAATGTCATTCTTTGTTGTGTGTGCTAAAGTTGACAAGGCAAGTTTCCCTGTAATTTAGATTCACAAAAGTCAGTTGATAGTCCCACTAATAGTTTCTATGTAAGTTATTCCCCAAGTTATTATTTTTTATCAGTCTCATATATATTCTTCTTTGTGAAGGATTTATGTATATGTTTGAGTGTTTACAATTGTTGTTATTGCCTTGTTGTCTATTCTTTGTATGGTGGTTATACAGGTGATGCTGTTGAAGGAATTATCAAACACTAGTTATGCTTGTGAATAATTGTAAGAAACTACTTATGTTACATCCTTCCTCCCACCTCCCCAGTATATTAGGCATCTGGTGTGTACCTCCATTATGAATGCTTAAAGTAACATTACTCTCCCAAACACTTTCTCTCTCTTGATCTCTCAAGCTCAGCTGAGTTGAGCTCACGGGATATGATTTTTCATTCCAAAATACTACCTGTACTGTCTCTGAGCTGACAGGATATGTTTTTGACTGAGCATAATAGTAATGAAATTTTTGGAAATTTTTTCATTCGAATATACTACCTGTACATCCTTGATATGGTTGTTCATTATCCTTGACACTTCTGTTACAAAATATGGCATGTAGTTCTAATCCATGATTTCATCAGGGACCAGCCCCATATTGAAGAGGCATGTTTTGTAATTCCATGCTCAAGGAGCAGAAGGAAATTGTATGTTGTACAAGCATATGTTGGATGTTGTTATATTAGTAGTTTTAATTTCTTGAATTAGGACATTTTTAATGTAACATTCTGAAAGTAATGTTATTAGGCATTGTGCTATTTTTGCAAAATTGTGGATGAAAATATGTGGCATATGCAGGGATTGGGACAGAGAACTTTGACAATGAGCCATTTTCAGGATTATTAGCCATTTTCTGAATTTAGAATGGGCCATTGCCCTTGTATCAATAGTAAACTTCAACATTTTAATGGGCCATTATTTATTCTAATGTGAAAAAAGGCCCATGTCCCCTGCCTTTCCCAATACCTGCATATGTGAACATTTTTTGAAGGAAGATACCTCACGTGTATAACCCTGTCTTCCCTCAGTCAAGTGTCAGTTCATTTGTGGACAATGTCACTGTGTCATTATTATCTTTTCAGTGTACGAGGAGCTGTATTCATGTGCAACTTTTGAAACCATGTCACTTGACACTGATCAGGATGAACACAGTTTAGAGATGCAGTTACCATATATTGCAATGGTGATGGAAAGGTATTGTATGGCTTGCTATTGTAAAACTTGAAACAGTCAGTAGTGAGTGGTTTTATGTCATATCACAGTGCCAGCTTGATTTGAGAAGAGAACCTGGTGGATGCAGGTGTTGAATGTTTACCACTTTGCTAATACCAATTAGCACAGCCTTGGTACTGACTAGAAACATCATTTTGGTAAAGCAAGGTTTTAAACAACTCAATAGGTTTTTATATAGAATACAAAACAGCATCACAATAGTGTCTACCTACCCAGAATCCTTGTGCATGTACAAGGTAGGAAGCCTCACTTCTTTAGTTTTCTGTGCACAAGAGAAAACATCTAAAACATGTTTTCAAGCATCTTTTTAGTTTGTTATCCTTCTGCAAGCTTGGTAATATCTTCACTTAACATTGCATATAATCTAGTACATCTCTGTGAAAGTTGTCAGTGATATGGACATATATAGTAGAGATAAACTTGTGAGAACTAGATGGCTTCCCTGTATTATGTGTGTTCAAAAATGTGGCCAGAATGTGACACACATTGAAACTTTTGGAGATGCAGGGAACTATAATCAGTTGTAATCAATTTACTTTTCTTGACACAAATCTTGAAGATGGTTTGTGTCCAATAATAATTAAAATGAGCCTTCTGAGATGTATTGCTCTTTAAGCATGAGAATTGGGCATTAATTACCGATAATATGCCTGTTGCTAGTTTTAGAACTCAATATGTAAACCTGACACATGAATTCAATCCAACTCTACATGAAACTGCCCAGATTTTGTACTTTAATAAAATAAATCTAATTTGTTTTACTTTTCAGTCGCCGTGGAGATTTTAGTGTTGTACCTGTCCTTGTTGGTTCTCTCAGTCCAGAAAAAGAGCAATATTACGGAAATGTATTTAGCCGATACCTTACAGATCCAGACAATCTCTTCATCATATCATCTGATTTCTGCCATTGGGGTATGTAAACCGCATCATTCCTTGACTTTACAAAACTTATATCAAGCAGTGTTTTTAGCTTAGAGATAAGCTACTCTTGGAGAAACAAAATCTCAGTAAGTCATGCATGTGAAAAAGTTCTATTTGTAGTCTTGCCCCATCTCATATTATGCACTTTCCCTTATTTTTTCAACTGTATAGTGGAAACGACCTAAAACAAAGTCAAACCTCACCCAAACACATCCCTGCTCCATCCGTTGTTGTAGGCAGTCACTGGAAGCTCATGCAAAGTGTGTATCTTGCCCTGGCCGACTATGTGACCCCAACTGAAGTCATTCTCTTTCTTGTCAGCTATGGGTGCCTGTTATAGACATTTGTCTTATGATTCTCACTCATCTTGTAATGACTGCATGGGGATATGTAGCTGGGCTAAGTGCTGACACTCCTGTAGTCTACTGGATGTTGACCAATGTGTGGTTTACAGGAAGGCTTCTCTCCTTGGGCCAAAGACAGAGATTACAAGGCACAACTGGACAAATTCGTCCCGTCTTCTAGCAAGAAATCCAAGCGCACCATGAGGGGAGCACCAGACCAACACATCATCCAGTTCTCAGACATAAGTTCATTTAGAGTGGATGTTTTTTTCGGTCACCCTCCATCGGACTGACTCCATCCCACCACTAGTTTCGTTGATCCTCCCTCAAGATTCATCCATCTCTCCAAACATCTCTTGACATCAATTGATCCATAGTTGCCTCCATAAGCTTGTCTATCCCTTTTCCTTTGGCAATGCCTTCATGGGTACTTTAACCACCACTGATCCCAATGTATCTACCTTTTACTCATAATAATATTGTCTGTCCCTCCTGCGATGATAATGTCTTCATACCTTCCTCTAATGATTTATGGCGGTGGGGTAGCCAAGTGGCTAAAGCGTTCGCTCGTCATGCCGGAGACTTGGGTTCGATTCCCCACATGGGCACAATGTGTGAAGCCCATTTCTGGTGTCCCCCGCCATGATATTGCTGGAATATTGCAAAAAGTGGTGCAAAACCCATCTCACTCACTCACTTGAATGATTTCTCTCGTGACCTCATCAAGCGCTCTGTTGTCTCAGCTTCGTTGATTCCTACGTTTTAGCTTTAACGATCCAGAGGGATCATGGAACCTCCTCCACTTGTAGCACAGGCAAACTGTAGCGCAAATAGGGTTGCACAACGAAGAGAAATGATCAGTCTTCCTATATGTGAGCGAAGCGAGCAAAGTTTGGCAACATACTTCCCTTGCTTCGGTTCGAAAAATATTTTTAATATCAAAACAAAATATCACCATCATCAAAGGTAGACACCCATTTCCTCACATGGTTGTGCTCTCAGATTTCCAACCTCATATTTAATAATTACTCGCATACAATATAGTGATGTCACGATACATAAGTTTCATGAATCGATACGTATCACGATACCCATGTCACGATTCGATACGAATCAACATGCCTATTTTCGTGGCATTATTGAGTAAATTTAGTTACATTTTGAGCATTAATATTTCATATTTATAATTGTCCATGAAAAGATCAACATTTTTTATTCTCAGGGATTATAAAGTTCTAATTTCCCATCTTTGTGCATGAAAAATAATCATTTTTTGCTCTCATAACATCAAAAATATGATACAATTGCAAAATGTAAACGATACATAAACATATTTATACCGAAACTTTCAAAACTAAACTTATCATCTTAGAAAAAGTATCAATGCATTGATGTATCGGAGTGAAGGAATAAGGGGAGTTAAATCTAAATATACTTGTTGAATCACATGTCCGCCATATGGAATATGGAGTTACCTCACTTGCTTTCATGCACCTGCTTCGCCAGAAGTGTTTTTTGAACATGTTATGAAACCTATAACAATAACGTCGGCAGATAAGAGAAATAATCTCTAACAGTTTAATGGAACATTAGGCAATATGATATTTCTTTTTAATTTCTGCTTATTCTTATTCCTTCACTCTGTTGAACCGGAAGCCGGCAGGGGTAATGGAGGTGAAGAACGATTTGACATGCCATGAGTGGCGCTTAAAATGTTGAATTAAATATATTGTACGTGAGTAATTATTAAATATGAGGATGGAAATCTGAGGAACTCTGTGAGGAAATGCGTGTTGACCTTTGATGGTGGCGATATTTTATTTTGATATTAAGAATATTTTTCGAACCAAAGCAAGGGAAGTACGTTACAAATCTTTGCTCGCTACGCTCACATATAGAAAGACTGGTCATTTTTCTCTCTGTTGCGCAACCCTATTAGCGCTACAGTTTGCCTGTGCTTGAAGCTCCCCTCTGCTTACCAGCCATCGCATGGTTCATCCCTGCCTTATATGATCCTAGGCAGGACCCTGCTACCACAGAACTTCAATCTACACAACTCTTCGTCCACTCCTCCTCAACTGACCGTACCAGTTTCTAGAAATCATCGATACCAGGATCTAGAAGTTGTGAGGCCATTGTACAGACTTTGTCGATCACACTAAAGAATGCTCAACAGCCTGATCTTCAGACTATTCGTCAAAAGATTATGCATTCCTTTGTATTAACACATCACCCTGTCCTCCTCCTCAGGACTCTTTCAATATAGTAGTTGGGTCGATTACTTAAAGCTTGATGTATTTTGTCCACCCTGGTCAGGCAACTCCCTGTAGTCGCAGATGGCCTGCACAGAACACTCCATCAAACCCAGACCTTAAATGGGCTTTTCATGGCAAAGATGGCAACAGGGACATGGTAAACATGAAACCTAAGCACCTCCATCAGTGTGTCGGACCTTCAACAAGTAATAGGAGGGAAAGCCTCTGCAAGGAGTGCAAATTTCTCCAAACAGTAACAATCTGACATTGTCACAGAACTTCCACCCCCCAGTCGCGCCTCTCCACAACACTCAAGTAGTCGAGTAGTGAATAGTATAGGTGGAATACTTGGGACGTTAACTCCAAACTTGACAACCGTATATTACCGTAGATAAGCCAAAGTTTTGAGGACCAAAAAAGCAGTCTGTAGCAGGGGGTCTGATTATCTACAGGTTACACTGTCGTCACACTTTTTTTTCTGGTGGTAAGGAAACCACATCATATCGCTTCATGTGAACAATGTGGTTTTGCACAATCTAACTATTTCCACAGCGAAAACAGTTTGTCTGACATGTAATCGTCCAGATACAACAAATAGCAAATAGTTTTAGCAAAACAAAGTATATATCCATATCCATTTTCTGTCAATTACACTTCATTTCAAGGCATGAGGAGACGCAATATGATAGAATAGAATAGAATGGAAGAATAGAATAATACTTTAATGCCTTTTCAGGAATTTGTGTACGCTCTTACCATGGTACAGTACGTATTGCGGTACAAAGCCCTTGGTTTGGTCCGGTATATATGAGAACTTACTTCAAAGATAATAGCGTCCGTCTAACAAAGAAATGCATAGATTTTGACTAACTGATTCGATTTCTAGACATTTTAGAAAAGGTTTAAAAAGGTTAATAAAATGATGGTACGAAAACTGAAAATACAGAATTTTTTAATTGCATTACGTTATACCGAACATGTATATAATATATATATATAATATATATATGATAAAACCGTGATATACCGTTGCACCCCTACAATATGATGTGCTTTGCTGTGATTTTCATGATTTCACCGGAGTTAATATAGACATTCTTAAATGACATTTTGAGTAAAAGTATAAACTAGATTGCAAATGTAAGTTCTGATATGCAAAGAACATGTTTTATTATGAGATAAGATTTTAATTCCGTGTAACAGGATTTACTGATACTCTATTTCCGATGACTGACCACAACTAGAAGATGAACAATGGTTGGTACACTACTGCCTAAAAGTTCATTCCCCCTTGAACGCATTGAGAACGCGTGTAACACGCATGTGACACGGGTGTGCAACGCGTTTGAGTCCTGTGTCACATGGATGTGCAATGAGACACATACGCGTCTAACACGGGACCAAGTTTCAGTTGAATTTGACGAAAAGCGTTAGGGTTGCATACAGAGAATTGTATGATTTTTTAATTCGGACATTTGCCAGAAGAGGTCGGGGATGAACTACGGGATGGTTTAGTTGGTGTTTGTTTTGTTACGCCCCCGCCATATATGGCTGGGGGCATATAGGGTTACCCTCCGTGTCCGTCCGTATGTCTGTCCGTACAAAACAGGGAATGTACTCTATCCACTTCTCCACGAAAAACGCTCTGTGGAATTCAATGAACATTTATACATGGGCTTTCTTGGGACTCTAATGGTGTGCATCTCATATTTTGTTTTTGTATTTTATTGGGTTTTTCTGTAAGTTTAGAGACATTTGAACTCAGGTACATTTTGCTGAATTTCTCTCTGAATATAGTGTTATAGGGGAATAAGTCTATCCACTTCTCCACAAAAACTGCTCAACAGAATTGATTGAACTTGGGTCTCTAAAGGTGTGCATCTCATACCTTGTTCATCCAATTTCTTAATCATGTCACTTCTACATATGTTTGAACTTAGTTGAATTTGGTTCTATTCATCCTGTTCGTCCCACACAACAGGGGGTGTACTTCATCCACTTCTCAAAAACCACTGCACAAAACTCATTTAGCTTACATATGTCTTTTATAGAGACTCTAAAGGTGTGCATCTCATATTTTGTTTTTGTATTTTATAGTTTTTTGTATGTTTAGAGACATTTGAACTTAGATAAATTTTGTTGAATTTCTCTCTGATGATAGTGAAATAGGGGATTAAGTCTATCCACTTCTCCACAAAAACTGCTCAACAGAATTGATTAAGCTTATACATGTGTTTCATTGGGACTCGAAAGGTGTGCATCTCATAGTTGCATAGATGTTTATTGAACATGTTCATGAATTTTGTTCAATTATTAATCTTTATATGATAATAGGTAGGTTGTGTGATCTCTTCCTACAGCAGCGGGGGCATCCGTGCCCCTGGAGGACACAATTTTTTCTGGTTTATTTTTTGTGTTTTGATTTTATATTTTCTAAGTTAGCACTATCTGGTTATATGGAATTATATGCGAACTAGAAGGTCAGTGTTGATAAGAATTATACCAAAGGGTTTGAAGTTTGGGGGTTATTTAGTGGGCTAAGAAGTGTTTGTAGTGTTAGGTGTGTGCTAGTGTCAAGTGAACTCATTCCGTATTGTTGGTAGTATATGCAGTGTAATAGGACACACGCGAGTGTACCGTGCATATAACACGGGATCAAGTTTCAGTTGAATTTGACTAAAAGCGTTAAGGTTGCATACTTAAATTTGTATGAATTTTGAATTTGGAAATTTAAAAGAAGTGGTCGGGAATGAACCATGGGAAGGTTTAGTTGGTACTTGTTTTGTTTATTTTTATGTTTTCTTGTTGTATTTTTTAAATTAGTAGTCTTGTTTTATTTTTATGTTTTGTTTTTGTATTTTCTGAGTTAGCACTATCTGGTTACATGGGATTATATTCGAAGTAGAAGGCCAGTTTTGATAAGAATTATACCTATGGCATTGAAAGTTTGAGTGTTATTTAGTGAGCTTAGACGTGTTTCCAGTGTTAGGTGTGTGTTTGTGTCCAGTGAACTCTGGAGCACCATTCTGTGTTGTTTGTAGTGTATGCAGGGTAGTTGGACGTGTGCGGACGTTTCTATTTCGAGGCACCTGGGAGACCGAACCCAGTCAGAGCGGTGGGTGTGCACTCAAGTGTAACGAAGCCTTTCATTGGCTGGTTCATTTGCCGAAACGCTGAGGGCTCATCGTGTGTGTATATAGAGATATTGGGTTTTGTAAATTCATGCTCATTTTTTCTGCATTTGCGTTCGATCCAATCAACAAATACTGAGATTGTGAACTACTGCGTGGCTGGAAACTGTCGTTCGTTCAAGTACAAAGCAGGACTTGAAACTGACAATCTGAGTTTGCACCGGTTTCCGTCCGATCCAGTCATCCGAGAAAAATTGATGCTGTTTGTTTGCAGCCCACAGACATTATAACATGTCATGTGTACAAGTATCACACCTGTGTGTCTGTGTAATTACATAATGTGACAGAAATAGAACTCAGGTGCACGAGCCATAAATTAAATATATTAAATGTATTTTGTTAATGGTGTATAGCCTGATACGTTTCAAGTTCAAATTGCATGTGGTCAATGCCTGAAGTTGTGTATTGCATATTGTCATTAGCAGACAGGCAGGCAGACACATAGGTGTCAATAAAACAGACATTGAGTTTTGTCTGTGATAGAGACTGCTTATCACAATCCACATACTTTCTATGTTTCTATAGACATGTATTAAAACATTTCAGTTTTCAAGCTGAGCAATTTTTAACAAAGGAATTGGTATTTCTAATGCTACACTTTCTTGAAAACTTGGTTTGCAAATCTGCCAACCCCCAAAAGCAAGATGTGAAAACATATAAGAAAAAGTATGGGACCAGTGTATTTTTATTACTGCAGACCAAAGATGCTTGTAAACACAAGAAATATCTTTTGTTCTCCAACTTTGACCCAGCGATAATCCTTGCACGCATCACTTGCTGTGTTTTTACGAGTCGCCTTCCCGGTTCAAGCCGCACGAACCTAATCACTGCGCATGCGCTGTGGGCGCAGTGCAGCACAGCACAGCACAGCTGTTGAAACCACTTTTCGCTGGGGTGAAATTAGTGAATCGTTTGAACTCTGATTTCGCGGGGGTTTCATCACGTTATTTTTCAACTTTATAAGTTGAATTTGCATTTTCGATAATTTGTTACTGTAAGTCCATACCGAAAGGTATTAAAATCTGCAAAGTTGTGTTTTGCGTTGCATTTGACCGTTAATGTTTTAAAAGTAGACAAATCTCATTACTTAATCAACAGAGTGACCCCTGTCCACTGATCAGTGGCCTACTATTGTTTCATGTGCCAATTACCTCATTACTTATGTTATGTGGGCAAACCTTAATTAGGCTAAGTAGGTTTTATCAGGTGTGAATTTTAGGCGGGGTATGCTGAAACCACATAAGGTTAAAGAACAAACAAACTTTTGTTTTTTGCACTCTTTTAACCATTACATATGAAAAACATGTGGTTAGCCTTAAGCGGAACACCAAGTTCGTTCTTTAAAAACTTGTGGTTACTTAATACCGAGCGATTAAAAGTTGCCAAAAACCAAAAAATCGCCTGCTTCACTCTCACCCACCAACGAAACCACAGAGAGGTTACGTAACTCTGTTGCCAGAGCACTGCAGCGAACCGGAAGTGACGTTATGTGAGGAAGGATTTTCAGTTAGTTGTATATAAAGTGTGTAACAAGCTCGTCATTTTGCTGATTTCTTGACATCAATGAAGACATGCCGAATCATTGCGTTGCCGTCAATTGCTCCTAGGGGTCGGTTGATGGTGTCACCATGCACTGATTTCCACCGGACCCCGTAATTTCGTGCTAAATGGGTTATGTTTGTGAGTGCGAATCGAGCGTTGTGGAAGCCTGGAACAAAATCTTACTTGTGTTCAGATTGCTTCACCGATGTTAAAGAATCAAAACTACATGGTAATTTCATATTTTAGTTTGTGCAAAGACAACATCACTTACTCATGCATTCTTTATTGTCAATTCCAGTTCAGTCACCCAGTGTTCACGAATGGTGTTTCAAAGTAACAGGACATTGGGTCATGCAAGTTTCAGATGTCTGTCTGACCCATTGAAAATTCACAGGACCCATAGAATGTAATTAAACACACATTTCAGATTGAACATTTCTTATACTTGGCCTTTAAATTTATTAACAAACACAAGATTTATAAACGGCAAACAAGTGTCACAGGTCTCATATAGCAACTTCAGTCAAAGTCATTGTGAAATATACAGTCAGACACTGGGGCCGGTGGGTTTTAGACTTGTATCAGACCGTTGGCGAATCTGCCGGATTTGTCAGAGGGTCAGACGCTATTCGTGAGCACTGGTCACCCTGGTATCATGTTTAATCAACACGATCCCCAATCCACTAGAGTACAAACTCATGCTTCTTTCGGTCTGGATCATGTTACAACAACTCTTCCCACAATTCCACTTCCTAACGGTCTGTGCATGTCCTGCGCATGTGCAGTACGACGGACATGACGTCACATTGTTTACCTTTTAACCCATCAGTCGTGCGCAGGTTCATTTTCTCCATTGTTTCAAGCCACTGAACTGTATCATCTACCCACCAGCCACCCCTTGGCTCCGCCTGCATTGGCATGTCATGTATTCAATTATGTTAGATAGTACTGCTGGTTGGCGATCGGGTCATATATCATGTATTCGTGTATATATACACATTTTACCACTGCTGGGGCTGCTTCGGCGTCACAAGCTACTCCATACTCAGAGCATGGAAGGCTTGTGGCCCCCAAAGAGCATTACTTAAGCAGGGATCGTCCGGGTCATCGGACCCCAGGACAGGTATATCCCTCTCACGTACACAAGTCCGGGTCCCTAAGACCCCAGGACATTTCAATCTTCCGGCCCGGGTCAACACGACCCCAGGGCCTCTCTCTACCCGGGTCACCACGACCCCAGGGTACACAGTAGGCAACCGAGGCAGCCCCCATATTGTGCCAAACATTTGTATGTAAATAAAAGTTCCTTGACATGTACTACCTTGTCATGTTGTGTTTTGCACAAATTACTAGTTGTAGTAAAATATGTATATGATTGATGACCAAAAGATTTTCCATGACACAACTTGTAACATAACGAAAAGTGATATATCGTTTCAGGCTTTTCACATTGGTGTATAGTCTCATTGGTCACCAAAGATAGCACACCTGGCAACTAATTGCATAATATCCGCCATTCTTTAAAAAAAAAGTAATTTAGTTAGCCAGTAATGAGCAATCAATCAATGTATTGGCGGTTAATCCTTTGAAAGAAGGACGTTGTTTTTACACAGGCACAGACACGACAGAGAGTATTCAATATAGATGAGTCACTCTAAATGTTTTTGTAACTCGGCTGATAATTCTTCTCGCTGCATTCCATGTGCATATTACATAACATGTAATACATTTTCCACATCAGACCTTTATTTATAATGTTTAGTATGTACTCCAGACACAAGAAATGTCAAATGGGAACCTTTGTCGGGTAATCTAAGTGGTGTTACCACTAATTATACCTGTTGTAAATTCATTAACTGACCAAGTCAATGATGACAAATAACATGTGTAGGTTTATACCACCTAACACGGGTTACAAGGGAGTATTAATTGCTGTAAAATTGCATGTGAAAACTTATGGCCCGACACTGTTTTGAGAATACGAATAGAACTTCATTGTTGCATAAGAACTACATATAAGCATTTGCTGTGTGCTAAAACTGTATGTACCTATTTACCTAAGTAAATTTTCAGATTCTTCTTGCAATAGTTTATGGATTCAAATAAATCAAATGTCAATTTTTAATATCATACGTAATAGACGTCATATTTTTACATGACATGTTTAAATGGTGTCGTGGCAGGAAGGCTAAAATTTCGGATTTCCTGGGAGAGTTAATTTCCAAGGGAGTAGGGGAGTACCGCCAAAGCTAAAGATATGGTGCCGGGGAAGCATAATCCATGTCGGGAGTAGATTTGGGGGGTTTAATGTTGGCTTCTGGCTAAGTCAATATCGCGATTTATTTCTGAAATGTTAGAACTTTATATAGAGCGGTGTCGGGTATTACCGAACAAGCGGCTATTACCAAACAAAATTCCATTTTCGCATTGTTTTCTCAAGTTGCCGATTGCGACAGCAACTTTTAGACGCATGCTATGAAATGGAAATTTCCTCTTCCGGAAGAACGACCGTCTGCTCCTTAAATATACTTCAAAAGACGCAGAGAGGAAAATTGACGAAAAGATAAGCAATGGACATTACATCCTTAAACGTGGTGCATATATCGGCGATGAGATGGCTAAGCCAACAAGTCTTGGTCAAAACTGGGATACCCCATTCTAATTATAGCACCATGTCTATTTCAGTATATTACGCAATTCCAAACCATAATGTAAGGCTTTGTTAGGCATATACGGACTGTACCGTCCGATCAACACTTACCCTTCACTGTGTAACCCTGTCGTCCTTTACCGAACAAACGTCATTGGCCTCAGCAATTTTCGCTATGCCTATAGCGTCGCGTATTTGTTGATAATAAAACAAATGGTAATAATTCATCCATGTGGTTTATGAACCGTCAAAACAAACACAAAACACGATAATTATGCATGTCTTCATTCACTATTCGTAGGTGTTAGAATTTAACTTGTCCTGTGTATAAAAATAAACATTAACTTTGGAAACGTGCCCTGCTGAAAAACACGATGATTGTTACATCAAGGAATGAGTTTTATTGTCTAAGCTATCGCGTTCTCCCAAGCCAAATATTAAAAAAATGAGACAACTCCAAACATTAGTCCGGGGAACAACTTACTTTTACATCAGGAACATGTTTGTTGAGACATGTCGATAAACATTTGAAATATTCGACCGTGACCTTATAGGAATGTTAAGGGCAGCTAATTCCACGACTTAGTTGAGAGTGGTTTCCCTTAGACCGTGTTCCATTATTGACTGACGGGCACCTTGCACGTCGTCTGCTTTCATTTCTGTCAGTTCCAGTCATTATGATCGACCCATATTTCAAGTAACATCTAACATCAAACTGTGTTTAAGACTTTCAAGTGGCTTAAACGTCAGCATTGTTTAATTTTTTTTACCCTTGTCCCTGTTGAAATATGTAATTCCATTACTTTTCGTGGCCAGTTAATTCTTCCTTGGCCCTGCGCATGGGCTCCATAAACTACGTCACATATCATCAAAATAACATGCACATTAATCATGTATTTAGAGTAAGGCTTCCAGTATTTTTTTCTGCATTCTCATCTTTCGTATGCCCAATATTTTGTATTCAGACATGAAATAATAGTAAGTGTCACGGACGCTGTGGGAATTAATGCCCTGATGTGATCAAGTCTCTATGCACACAAACAGTTCAGTTGTCTCCATAATATACATGTACTGAAATACTGTTTCAATAAAAAAGCGACCAGACATATATCTAATCAATAAAAATAAAGATTATTAAATAAAGATAAGTGATCTATGTTTGAAAAACCTGATATAAAGAAACACACCGGAACACATTTGTAATGCGAATGTACAGACACTGTTCAGGAATACCTGTTTGATTCCTGGCAGTTATATGATTTACAAGTTAATATAAGACAAACAAGATAAAACATGAAGTGTTTTTTACGCATCCTGCTAGCCTAAATTGCGTAAATATTATTTCATATGATGCATGATCATGGCACTATTTGAATGGTACATATGTGACTTGTTTTACCTGCATGGTTACCAGAGAATGTTATCATGATTATCTGGATGTTGAGATAATATATCACACAATAACATATCTGACCTTGGTTGAAACGACATGTATGCTCTAATATATGTGTTATGGTTACACTATTACACAATACCGTTATAGGGCGGGGAACTGGTATAACAGTATATTGAGTGAAGACACTTTTGATTATTAAGATAAGAACACACCACTATAAACAGTACGCCGTCTTGTTGTTTTTCATTCTTTGTAAAATTTCAGTATAGTGACGTTTATTCCTTATTCGGAACAAACACTTCCTGAAATTGTAATTAATCTTCTACATGAATTCCTTTTATCCATAACGTCGAGTGAAAAAACTTGTGCACGACCTATCTGCACGTTTCAAATATTGGTTAGGTGGTTTGATTTTCAACGCCGCACTCAACAATATTCCAGCTCTTTATTGGAACGGGCTAAATTATACAACTTTCATTAAAGGGCTGGAGATCAGAGTATATAATATGTACGAACTGACCGCACTTCAGCAGAAACACGTCTTAGAGGTCGTCAACCAGCACCGTTAATCGGAATAGCCCGACACGAGTGTTCGGAAAAGCCCGACATCACTGTTCGGAATAGCCAAAATCTGAAAATTAGATCTTGGAGATCAGAGTATATAATATGTACGAACTGACCGCACTTCAGCAGAAACACGTCTTAGAGGTCGTCAACCAGCACCGTTAATCGGAATAGCCCGACACGAGTGTTCGGAAAAGCCCGACATCACTGTTCGGAATAGCCAAAATCTGAAAATTAGATCTTGTCAAATATTTGCTGAAACAGGTTTACTTGACGGGATTAACTCATCTTCAAACGTGAATATGATACACAAGGAGAGGTTCGTTGTGTATATTAATTATTGTTACGTGTGATGAAACACAGTATGAATTAGGCGGGATGTGGTGTTAGCTATTCGGTGTATAGCTATTTCAGATATATTTAATTATAAAAAGCATTAGGGGTACTCTACTTTAGATAATATTTTTGTGTTTAATGGATTAATTGATATACTAAGCTTAAATCTAAGAATATAAAGTTATATAGTGTTTTTATAGACTTTCAAAAAGCCTTTGATAATGTCGGACGGGTGAGACTTTGGCAAAACATTGTTAAACACGGAATTACTAGGTAAGTTTAAAAGGTTAATTATAATATGTATGATAATACCAAGTGTTTCAACAGGTGAAAGTAACTCTACCTATTTTGACTGTTGTAAAGGCATACACCAGGGAGAAAATTTATCACCTCTCCTTTTTTCACTGTTTATTAATGGCGTTGAATCATAGCTAGCGACTAATGCCTGTGATGATGTAGAAATTGATGATATATTTGGATTTGTTAAGATTTTTGTACTGATGTATGCTGATGACATGGTCTCATTTGAGTCCGGATGAGTTACAGCATAGTATTAATGTTGTGTAAAGTGGAAGTTAAAATTAAATATCGAAAAGACTAAAGTAGTCGTATTTGGCTCTGGAACTGCAGGAGTTAATTTTCAAAAAAATTATCTAGGTGATGTACCTTTCACCTTTTCAAAAGAATTTCTTTTCAAAACATTGCTATAATATTATGGTATATTTAAGTTGCAGTTAAGTAGATTGACAGAAATGTGTTTTTCCATGGAAAATGATAATTTAATTTCGAATTAAAGACAATGGATAATGAACAATAGACATGAAAATGGGTAAATAACTGTATTTATATTTGAATGTGTGCCCAAATGAAAGAGCGTCCACGGTAATCCTGTTTTCTTTGTAATTTGTCAGAGCCTCCGAGTGAGGGGCAACGTGTTCATTCAGCCATAACATTGCATTGCAAGTACCGCGAACCGAGACGATTTTTGCCTTCCCGGCCATGACCCGTTTAAATATCGAGGTAAAAAACCCACAGAAATGGGATCAATTTGGATCAGTCATTATACCATCCAGGCATTAAACCTGAAAAAGCCCACACTGCTTTAATACCTTATTACAATCAGACAAGAACTACCAGTGATATATTCAAATAATGGCATCTGATGGGCAAATGTCGCACTGTTTACGTTGAAGAAATTAACCGTAACCGTGATGAGTGAGGCTGATCATCGTTTTCACTATCACTAGCATCTGGCTTGAAACAAATAAGGCCTAGCGACACCAAGCGATTTTGACAGAATCGTCTATGGAAACAAGTAAGGCAAAGCAGGTGACAAAATTAAATGACAGTAGATTGTGAGAACATATAGCT